TTCTGCACTCGGTCCGATTGGTGATATCAAAGAAGATCTCTACCAAGCTCCAGTACAATGCGACAGGAAATATCGTGTTTCAGGTCCACGGCGCCCGAAAACTGCTCCTTTTCCCGCCCGGCGACCAAAGCAAACTCGAATTCCCACCTGGAGCAAACACGAGCAATCTGGATATCTTCTGTGATAAGACACCGTTACAAGAACACATCTTCTATGCACCGTCAGGCACAAGTCCCCACATCGCTATACTGAAGCCGGGGGATGCCTTGTTCATCCCACCTTTCTGGCCTGTGGCCAGTGTGACATTTGTCGACAGTAGCAATGACAAAGACCGTCTGGGCAATGGTGCCTCATCGCCGAGCACCCCGAGCACCCCGAGCGAGAAGTCATCCCACCTCAGTAGAAACGGCTGCGTCTCGGGCAGTGAGTGTGTGTCGGATTGCAAAGAGACGCCACGTATGCAGGATGACTGGGTCGACGTCACAGTCAATCTCTCGTTCCGCAACTTACCACCTCATCTGTTTTGTGCCAGCTCTTCTCACGACTCCCACAATGACTTGGTAGCCTACAAAGAGGGACGACGAGACCTTGAGAGTGTTGTGAAAAGGTTTACGTCCAATGTTTGCCATTCCACTCCACGGCAGAACGGGCAAACTGCTCCCACAAAGTCTGTCGTCGGCTCAGACCTCATGCTAACAAACATTCCCAAGGACGTGGCGAAAGCTTATCTGCAAAGACTAGGCAAAGAGCTGCTAATGATGGCTGACGAGTTGTGAAGTTTGCTTGTCTGCTTCTTTACAAGTGATGGTGCAAGGTGTAATCTGGCTCTGCTTTTGGGGCCGCAGGTGAAGGCTGAATTTCAGACATGATGAGGCAGCAGGACGATGATGGCGGATCTCCCATACGATGCTCCATCCTGAATTAAAAGGAGATGAGCTCAATCACTACACAATCGAGACTATTCGTGACGGCCAAACCAAAACTGGTTCATGTGGCTGTCCACTCCTCTCTGTTGACGCTAAACAGGTACTGTTATTCTCGGTGCTACAAGGTTGTGCTGGTGTCAACCGCACGAGCGTTGACTACAGTCCCAAGACAAAAGAGACATGGTGTGGTTCACAACTGGCCAAACGCAACCACCTGCAACAGTTTTAAAGTCAGGCTTTGTTTGCCAATCCGTCCGGATTTTCATTGTCACAACTCACCATTTTGAGGGACAATGAAGCACCAGATCTATCTCTTCACTGCATGTCCATATATCAATCTGCCCAACGAACACTCCGGACCTTCCCCCAGATTCATCCATCCGGAGCATCCGTTTCTACTAGACCGTTCAACCCGATCCAACACGAGCCAGAACGACCTCCAAGACCAACCTGTACATCTCTTTATTCTAAAGAGCACTTCCCAGTGTTGACCCTTGAAAGTCACCACTATCGATCCACAATGCCTCCAACCCAAGAAAGATGGATGGTCTGGAACGACAGCCCACACCACTACTGTCACGACCGGAGTCTCTTCTTCAACCTCAACAAGGACCCCACAGCCGACCAGAGCAAGGAATTTGTGGTGCTGGGCAAGGGAGACGTGGTGATCCCCATAGCGAGATGCGAGAAACTCACGGCGATCCGCCTCCAAAACGTGTTGTACTACAAGACCGACAAGCCGCGGAACATCATCAACCTGAAGGCCCTGCAGCGCGATTATCCCAAGTTGGTGCTGAATCGGACCGTCAAGATTGGCATCTACGGCACGGCGATCGAGCATGCCGATGACCCGGGCAAGGCGTTGCTTGTTGTTGACGAGTACGACGAAGCTGCGAAGCGTTAGTTGGGTGTGTTTTTCTGGGGAGGTATCTGTCGGAGAGTCTACCATCAGTGAATCTCAGGATTAACGAACATATTGATGGCTTGTAGGTGAGTTGGACATAATCACACAAGTGAACTCTGCTGATGGTTCCTAGCAGTGGTAACGACAATCATGCTCTATTTGTCAACCTCACTTATCACCTACTCGCCGTTCGCCGTGGACATGAGTACAAGTGGGTAAATGAGCAATGAAGAAGTTACAGACGGTGCCAGGCCACTATTAGATGAGCAATGCCAGCACTACGGTGCTACGGCACTGCACCGTTGTCCATTATCTATTGCACGTTCGATCATCACTCTCTTGACAGAGCAAACATTTCACAATCGAATGGGCCTGAGTGATCAGATTCTCGAATCGTCGTCTTTGACATGCTTTGCCCATGTTTCCCCATCTTCTCTCTTTTGTCAATGTTGTCCATTTGTCCATCCATTCTATGCTTTCTTGGTATCATATTCATGCCGAAATCGCCCCTCCGGACTATTTACTTACAAACCTCCATCATCGCGCTTTGCTACATCTCCAGATCCAAATTACCGTCACACACAGGTATAATCGACCATACATACCGACCACCCAACCATGCCTCGTCTGGGTGGTCGGGATTTGATCCCGCTTTCGCCCACGGGCTGGGTCTACGGCGGCGGCGGCGGCGTCTACTATGGGGACGAGGACGACGGCTACGATAGCGGTGATGGTATTCTCTCCCCACTCCCTCCACGACGTCCTCCAGGCGTGACGATCCCGCGACAACCCACCCGCCAAACCGCGCGAGACATACCCCTGCCGGAATCGTACCCGTATCCGCCAACACCGGACCCTTTACCGACGAGGTTCCCCGAACCGCCGCGCGGATCGGCCCAGCATAAACAGAGCATGAAGTTTACGCCGTGGATCCTCAATCTGACCTCGGAGACGCACAAATGCGCGGATCTGAATCTCTTCCGGCTACCGCGGCCGGTGACCCGGGAAGAAGCATCGCGAGGTAGTCAACGCCAACAAGATCCGCAGAACAGGCGGCGGCGAAGAGGCACGGTGGTGCTTCCCATCCTCCCGGGCCCAAAGCGCCGGATCGAATTCGACGTCAGCGTCATGACCCTCTCCAACGTCCTGTACACACCCGGGGCGAGGTTCTCGGAACTGAGCTGGAAAGTGCTCGAGTGGCAGGGCTTCACCCGCCACGTGCTGCACCACGACCACATGCACGACGTGACGCAATTGTCACCACCGACACCAAGACCACAACCAAGACAACCGCCGCCGCGACACGGCCACGGCCACGACCACGACCAGCGAACACGACCGCCGCTCCACCGCCCCGTGACGGCCGTCGAAATCGGCTGGCGGGGCATCCGACGCGTCGAACCATCGCGACAGCCACCATCGCGGAGAGGATATCCAGACCCACGGGGCGCCCCGGACGTCGGGCAGCCCAACGCATACGGCCGCTGCGGCCCCTCGGCCAAGGAGTCCAGCGTGATCCGGCACCGCGGCGTGCCCGGCGTCGACGTCCTGTGGGTCGGGTACGACCGGACCGTGGACCCGCGGCACCTGCACCTGCACATGACGGGCGCGGACATGGTGGACGTGCGCCTGTGGAGCTGGGGCGTCGATATGGGCATCGTGGGCAAGAGCGCCGTGTTTGGTGGGTGGGTTGGTTGGATTGGGCCAAACGGTGGCGGCGCTGCCGACGGTGAAGATGGACGGGGAGGGGGTGGGAATCGCGAACGAGAGCAGCAGGGCGAGGGCGAGGGCGACGATGAGGATCTGTTCCGCAAGATCGTTCAGGGCGGGCTGAGGGCCGGGGAGGAGTTGGGTGTTGTATGACATTATATGACACAGACACAGACACAGTAATTACAGCGCAGCAGTGCAACTAGGTCATTTGGAGCTGCAGCAGTGAGAAACCAGAGATGACATTGATATTGATATGATAACAAACAATACAAATTCAAACTATCGATCGACTCGGGAAAATTCAATACCACGTATACCGCATATACGTAATAGGCATATGATACACGCGATGTGCCGTGCAATCAAGCCTGCCTGCTCAGAGCTGCCTACCTAGCCCGCAGCACAGCCTGATGGCCACGCCAACGTCTCACTGAACCCGCTCTGAGATTGTCGTGTCTTAGAGGAAACACCCAGTCCTGATACCCTTCGGTCGAGGTGTGGACGCTGTCAAAGCCTCCAAAGTCGGGATCACCTGGATGGGAAAGAAGGGTACTCGCGTCGGTACAGTCGATCCTGTTAAGGGCATGGTAGTACGAGAGGCGCAACGTGGCAACTGCTGGTTCCAGATCGCCCAAGCAGATCATGCTTATCAGATCAAGGGTTCTGTGGACCTGGTGTCTCCGTTTGGTCTCGCCGAATTCGTCGTGTTTTGGTCCGTTGATTCTTTCTTGTCTGCACCCTGCGGCGCGGGGGGGTGGGGAATCAGAGGCTGCTTCAACGCGAGACCCATATCCATATCCAGATCCAGATCCAGATTCTGCCGGAATGGTATCGGAAGACTGTTGCTCTAAACCGTACCCAGTATCTTCCTGCTCGTGAATCGAAACGGACTCTGTTTGTGAGGAGGCAGATTCTCTGTCTTGCGGTTGAGGAGGGTCAGATGCTGCTTCAAGATTAGAATCGCTGCAGCGACCTGCCTCGTCCGACAAATCTTTGGGGCATATTCCCGTTCTTTTGCTCCATACTGAATCACGCAGATAATAGATCTGTTCAATAAAATAGTGGCCCAGACGAAGATCAAATTAATCCCTGCTTAAGTAGCCGCACGGGAGACCCAGGTGACAGGGATAAAGCATGGGGCCTGACTCACAGAACGACATCCGCAAACAAGAGGGTATCAAATCATTCCTACTTCACGAAGCACCGTCACCCGTCACACAGCTGTTTGATACCCTCAACCAGTGAGTAAGGTCCAATACCCTGCTGGACCGCCAAAGCGCAATTGTAAAGAGAGCAATAGCCAAGAGCGCATGTGTGGTCAAGAAGATGCATAGATTTTGGGGTCACCCAGGAGAAAACCGTAGTTGCCTCCATCGAACCAATTCCTGACCAACAGAATGGTGTACAGAGTGTCAGTAATGTACATGCTTTTGAGATGATTTGATGATGTACAGGGATTATGCCTCGTTGGCCATTCTCTCGGCAGCCTCCCGTGCTCTTTTCAAGTCCTCCTTTTGTTTCCTGATCGCGTCCATGCCAGCTTTGACCCGCTGCCGGTCCTCTTCTGCCCGTGCAAAGAATTCCTTTAGTCTTTCCATTTGCTCGGTTTCCTCAGGGTTCTCAGGGTAGTCCTCGCATCTTGTGGTGTTCTGGAACCATTTCCATATGCTCCCTGGTTGGTGTGGCCCTAAACGCAGTTCCACAGTTCTGGTGAATGTCGACGTCGGAGTAGGGTTCGATGACGAAGATGGTGATGCGCTGGAGGTTGTCTGGTCGGAAGCTTGCGACTTGGCCTCTATTTCGGTCCACGTTTCTCGATACTCGCCGTCGTTGCTTGTTTCTAAAGACGTCTTTTCCAGCTCTCTCAGCGCCTGCTGGTCGGCACTCTCAAACGTCAATTGTAGTCGCCGGGGTCCCTGTTCTACTCTGATCGGTAAACCGGGGTTGTGGTATTTCAATCGTGGTAGGTGATCTTTCTGAAATATTCTCGCAGGTCTCGTGCTCTTGTTCCACTGCTTTCGGTCATATTGCAGGCTTAACCGCGTCAATTGGGGAGAAGGTGGAGGAGGCAGGATAGCTGCGCCTTCGCCATGGCGGACTTTGAAAAGCTGCGGAAATGAGCACACATTCGGTCCGTCGGACATCTCGAATACTCACTTTCTAGAACACCATCAGTAAATCTTCTACAGGACAGAGAAAGGACTCACAGGTTGAAGACCGCGCATGCGCTTCAGGACATGCACCATTTTCGCGACCGTCGTAGCTCCCAATCGACCTTGTGGCCAGGTGCAGACGACGAAACAAGGGTAGAGAATATACAAACAAAGGAAGTTCCGCGGTCAGCTTAGAAAATTTAGCCACTAGTTGAACTTCAATGCACTGTTCACTTGCTGCACATGCACATATGGAACAAAAGTGTCAAACTCAGAGCCTGTCCTGATACAAACGCGCCGAGACAAGGCTGCGGCTCGGCGTGTTTGCTACCGGGCGGGTCTGCTGGTATCTGAACTCTATTCGGACAAGGCTCTCCCCAAAAGGGGTGGTTTGTCTGCCCAGCGAGGTTTTGATGATGTGAAGGATGATAAAAGGCTGTCAGCCTACAAAGGGCTCAACAAAGGCATGTACTTCCGATTTTAGTGTGTCTTTGCAGGTAAGCAAGAGGAAGGCATGACTATGCGAACAAAAGGTGGCCATTGGGACACAGCGAGACAATACCAGTGACATGCATCTTGTGATATGTACCAGGACCAAAAGATCCACAGAACCCTGAGCCTCTTTATGGTACATTGCATCTTCTGAGCTCTACAGGAATGAAGATATGGAATATTGTTTGAGCGAGAGCTGGAGATTTTGAGTAGTGTTAACTGTTACCCATAAAAGTCCTTGTCTCCCCCAAGAGTCTTCCAACACGATCTCTAACCTTGATCCTGAACGTTGTGTCAAAACATCTCCTGTAGGCAGCACGATGGTGCGACATCACGTACTGCTAGTTTCGCAGATCGTGGGGCCATGTAGTGGTCAGGCTTGTGATGGAGTACATTGTGAATGTAATCGTTCTCGAAGGTCCGGTCTGGTGGAGAGGAAATGGACCGGTATACTTGGACGATGACTCTGTTAAGGTCAGTATTGTAGTGCCTGAGCTATTCTCTCTCTCTCAACTTATAGTGCCAACGCGTTGATTGTTAAAGTTAAATGTGCTCTTGTCTTGTTGTGGTGAAGTAGCATATTCCCAACCCAGAAGACATTTCGCGGTGCTTCTTTGTGAACGAGGTCCGGACAAGTTGAGCTCCTCTGTGTTGGCAGATGCACATCGGTTCCTGATCAGGCAAATGGCGAAGGTTCTGGTGCAGGTCTTTGTTCGTGCATTTTTAAAAGAACAACGGTTGTGGCGGGACTGTGTAAAAGGGACGCCGTAGATAATGAACTGATGTCCTGGATGTCAGCACTGGTCATTGTCTGAGAACGTAGACGCAGAGGTGCAAGGTGTAGTGGTCGTGGAAAGGAGTAGGTAGAGTCAGGAGGTTTATGGGAGTCCAATGGTAGAGGCAGAGGAATATGTTCACGAGCTTGGTACAGAGTCGTTCTTGATCTCAACCTCATCTGTAGAGAGACTCTGGGCCTTGTGACCATCCAGTGACTATAGAGATCGTATGGTGGGCAATCAAGGAGTGAAAAGAACATCACAGTCTGTGAGAAATGCAAATGTCTCTGCAGCGGTTAGTACAGGTGCACCAGACGATCCTTTCAGGAGACCTACCAACAAGCAATAGCCAGCGCCCAAGTTTCTCTCCTGTCGACACAGACCACAACCTGTCTGTCTAGAAGACCATAAGGAGAACAGAAAGGCCAAAGCCCAAGCATTGCCTGCGCCCTTTCTCGACAAGTGACAGCGCAGACAGCACAGCGCAGGCAGTCCGGCACCCCTTCCAACTTGGGACTGGCGGCTCTGGGAGGTGAAGACTCTTTCTCTCCTCTCCTCTCTCCTCCCCTTTCTTCTTCATCATCACCCTCATCATCACCCTCCTTCAATCATCCTTCATCAAAGCCACACCATCGCAAGCATCGTGCATCTCCGCCTCCACGCAGGCTTCGTGAAAAGCTATCTCCAGAGATAGCTGTCGCGTTGACCGCGTCGGACAGTGTTGTCGACACTTCACGTTCGTTCGTCTTGAACATCATCTTACCCCTTTTACAAGCCTTCTTTACCACAATCCGTCTTAGGACAGTTTTCCAAAGCTTGCGCAGTCTTCACCATGGCTGTGGACAATCTTGTCTCCGCCGCTGAGGACGACTCGGGCGTTCATCGCCAAACCGTCACCTTGCGCCCCAACAAGAAAAAGACCTTCGGCAAGCGCAAAGCCCGAGCCCCATACCGCGTTGTGGAGGTTGAGAAGAAAAAGCCGCAGCGTACCTCTCTCTTCTCTCTCGTGTTTACCGGACTCAACATCATCAGTATCTCGGCATACCTTTGTGTACTCTTCATCAACATCATCCAGACATGGTGGCGAGGCCAGGGGTTTCATAGGGCTGCTTATCTCTTCGCTCTTGGACAGTTCTATGACAACCGTAAGTATGGTCCTCTCTCGGTCGACGTCGACTAATCCTGTCAAAGTATCGTCGATCTTGGATGGAGCCTGGCGTATCGCGGTCGGCCTCGCCCGTGACTCTAAACCACGACCGACACTTCGCATCCTCGGCAACAATGTCCCAGGAGTTGATGTCCTTGTTGTTTGCTGTGGTGAGCCGGACGATGTCGTCTTGGACACGGTCAAAGCTGTCTGCAAGCTTAACTGGCCACATGACAAACTCAGAGTCATCGTGGCTGATGATGGCAACATGGAAAGCCTTCGCATCCAAGTCGAGAAGCTGCAAGGCAGATATCCACATCTGTATTACCATGCTCGCATGAAGCCCAGTGATGGGAACCATGGATACAAGGCCGGCAATCTCAACCAAACCATCCGCGAATATGTCATCGACCTTCCTGGTGGCCACAATGACTTCATAGCGATTTTCGATGCCGATATGATGCCTGAGCCTCAGTTCCTGCGAGCCCTTATCCCACATGCCCTCAAAAATGAGAAAATTGGGATGGTCACTGCCGCTCAGGTATGTCATTGCATTCTCGTTTGGAGTTCGTCGCGCTGACAGTGATAGCATCACTACAACATTCCCAATGATGATCCGTTGAACCAAGCCAACTCGACTGGAACTGCAGCTGATGATGGGCTCCGAGACTCGGTCAACGTCGCCTGGTGCCCTGGCAGTGGCTTCATCGTTCGTAAGGAAGCTTGGTCTGAGATTGGTGGTTTCCCAGAATTCTCAATCACTGAAGATCTCATCACCAGCTGGTTCCTGCATGGAAAAGCCTGGAGGATAGTCTTGGTTCATGAAGTTTTGCAATGGGGGCTGCAGCCAGATTGTATCCTGACTCACTTGAAGCAGCGCCGACGTTGGGTAAGCGTGAACATGACCTTAGAAAAAAGTGTTGATGACTGACACAGCACAGTGGACTGGACATATCCGTGACGCTTTCAAACTGGGCTTCACCTTGTGGGACTACCGCCTCAAAGAAGCTACACGGCTTCAACGCATCGCCATGCTGCACCATAGCTGTCGACCTTACTTGATGACATTGACCAAGCTTGCCAACTCTGTTTTCGCATTTGTCTGCCTCTACCGCGGTCGACCTGTCATAGCTACCCCAAGTCAGAATGCACTGTATTGGGCTGTCATGTTCCTTGCAATCGTTCGTATGATGGCGCTGATTGGAGATATAAAGTCGGTCTTTGGCAAATACTACCTGAGTGTCCGTCGTCGTACTGCAACCGGAGTCTGGATGGGTCATCACTTCTCCCGCGATGTTCTTCAAACCTTGCTGCCAAAGCGGCTTGGTGGTCTGCGTCTTGGGTTCGGAGTGAGCGGTGTGGGTGGTACTTCTGTCAAAGAACGAGATATCAACAACCGTCCTCCTCTTGTCAAGAGACTCTGGATGCTCCATCGTCGTGAAGGTATCTTGTGGCATGTTGTCCTCTTTTTCATCATGTCTTATGTGTTCATCTTCAGAATTCAGTCTGAGATCAAGGCATCGGTTATTAACGGCAAATTAATCGCTGACAAGGCCTTTTGGTTTCGCTTCATCGCTTCGGCTGGCTTTCCTGGGCTTGGACTCATCGAGACAATTCCCCTGTACCTCACACCTGTCGTTTATGCCATCTGGCCGCCAACGATGCCACAACGTCGTGACAGCATGAAGTATGACGGCAAGAGCGGACTGTGGAAGCCAATGCCAGAGTACAAGAGCATCAAATGGACATCGGCTAGTTAGTGGCTGGCTGTGCCTCACATCCTCGGTGTTGCCTGGATGGCGACTGTCGTCGTCGTCATGTGGCACATGTGAGGTGGCACGTGTCCAAGGATCGAAAGTCAAAGGATGAGTTGATGGAGAAGTTCGTTGGTACAAAGAGGTTGAGAAGTGAAGGAGGAAACCTAGTGAGTGTGGCATCAACACTTGGCAGCGCAGGGCATTGCTAACCGCGCCTTACAGAATAGAACACAGAGTCATCAGTATCGACACACCTCAAACAGCGACCGGGACAGAGAAGGATTGATGACACCAAGCAGAAATCGCACACGGGATATAACACAAGAGCTCAAGGACTATCCTGTTTGTTATCACATGAGCGTCGGTCACCGTGATGTTGAAAGTGAAGGATTCTGCGAGGGGTGCATCGACAGACACACAGATGACCGGGAGGAGAGCTGTTCCTTGTCCTTCTTTTTTCCTTGTTCCTTTGCTTTGATATCATCAGTCACAACAGCCGAAGACGGCCAGTGCTGGTCCATGTACACCGGCCTCTTCAGGCACATCCCCAAACACAGACAATAGCTTTAGCTTTTAGCATCAATTAGAATCAGCAGGAATCAAAAACGCTGAAATCATGCTTTGCGTGCATTCTCCAGCATCTCCTTTGCTCTCAGCTCCTCGTCAAAGGCATCTGGATCCTCCATCTCCCTGTCCTTCATCCTCTTTGGCCTCAACCCAAGCTCAGATTGATGGTCCCAGATCCGGTCGTGTCGCTTTGCCCATCTTTCTCTCCTTTTCTGCATCTCAACTTCATCCTTTGGTCGCCATTTACTCTTC